TATCTATCTATCTATCTATCTATCTATCTATCTATCTATCTATCTATCTATCTATCTATCTATCTATCTATCTATCTATCTATCTATCTGAGCAGTAGTCACATGTCGATGATGAAAAGGTAAACAAACGCTCAGCCAATCAGAAAGCGGCTGCTCGGTCATATGACAGAAAGTTCTTTCGTGTCACGTCAGGAGTTGTGTTGTCAAAATGGCAGGACACGAACACCACCATCACTTCTCTTTGTGTTTCTGTGATTTAATGAGGTAAATAACCACTCTGTTTATTTAAAGTTGTAAACAAACAAAGAGTTACCCGTGAATAAGTTAAAGTATGAGGATAATTGTCAGAGCGCGCGGACGGCGCTAATTTTAGCATGCTAAAGCTAGCTGGTAGAACAGGTTCTGGTCGGGTCGCCTCTTCTCAGTCCTCTGTCTCTTTCTCCACAGGCTGCTGTGGTCCCTGGTGATGCCCTGCGTTTACCTCAGTCTGGTCCTGACTCTGGTTCTGGTCCTGGTGGTTCTGGGTCTGCGGCTGTGGTTGCAGGGCCGCCGGAGGACCCGCCAGGCTCAGGGGACCGGGGCGGCGCTGGCCTTTTTCCACCCGTACTGTAACGCAGGAGGAGGCGGGGAGCGGGTCCTGTGGTGCTCCCTGAGGGCACTTATGAACCGGTACCTGGTTTATTCTTTCAACTCAACAGCATCAGTTTTTATTGGGTCGAACAACAAGTAGAATCTACTCCACCCAAACTGAAAAATGTGATTTTATTATTAGAAAACGGTCATTTGTAATGTTGTCAACAGTAAACATGTTAGAAAGTTGTCGGGTGTTTTACTTGCACGAGGTTTTTTCATTGTTTACACAGCTTTAAAGTTGAGTAAACAAGTATCAGGTCTCAGTGACCCACCTGACAACATGGACTTTTGAGTCCAAAGTAAACTTCAAGATCCCAGCAGCTTAGAACCACATCATCTAATTCTGTTTGAGTATGATACTTTTCTGGAGTAATCAACAGTTTTTAATATGCAAACACAACTTATTTTTATACGAGTGACATATCTTAAAGGGATACGTTAGTACATAAGTTGTAACATTAAATTTTATTTTATAAACTTATATTTTAACTGTAAAATAAAGACTATAAAAACACTGTAGGCTGTTTAGTTTTGTAATTTTTTAAAAATATATTTTAACACGAATGGAGCTATTTTATTTACACACAAAGCATTCTGGGTAAATGATGACGTGGATAGGTTCTCGATGCGAGGCTGCTAGCGAGCTATATCCACTCTGAAGGTTAATCTTGGACAATATCTGATGATCGACTCTTTTAAATGAAACCAGAGAGCGTTGACGGAGAGGAGAAGGTAGAAATGACTCAGCCTGTAACTGAAAATATGGATGGAGGACAACAGAGCTGCTTCATGGAAGAAGAACCTCAGCTTAGCCTGTTAGCCTTCGCGCTAGCTCCAACGCTATATTGCCTTATATGCATTGGCTCAGCGCTAGCACGACAAACAAGCTAAATTAAGGTCCTCCATCCAGAATGCTTTGCCTGTAAATAAAATGGCCCTGTCCATGTAATATATTGATAAAAACTGAACATCCTACAGTATTTTTACAGTCTTTATTTTACAGTTTTCAAGTCTAATGTTACAACTAATTATGGATCCCGTTAAAACCTGTCCAGATACCCAAGCGTGTCCTTCGTGGTTTACACGGGGGATAAGGACGTGAGCGGTGAGCAGATCCTGGAGGGAGCACGGCGACGTTTTAACATCACGCTGCCTCGACCCGTCACCTTCGTCTTCCTGCGTCACCGCGGGTTGGTGGAGGCCTCTTCCTACCCCCACTTCACCCTGCTGGGCCAGAGCCTGGGCTCCATGTTCCTTGGTAAGACCATATCCAATTTGGCCATGACTTTGGGATTCATACAGAATGAAAACAAAGTGGTTCAATCATTTATTATTGAGCACGCTAATACAAGGTACACTTTTACAGTTTATATGCTGCTTAAATCTACTGTTCTGATGCTTTACTGAATACTTTACACCTCCTGCTGTGAAAACCAGACCAGTATTTTCACTTGTTCTTCTGGTCTGATGTGTGTTAGCCTTACTGATTACTGACCGTAAATAAGGGTTTACCATCCAGTTATTCATGTTTTGATTGCCGATGAGAGAATTCTCCTTCCATTAAAGGCAGACCTGAGTTATATGAGCTGTTTGTGTGTTTCAGGGTGGGAAGCCCTCACAGCCTTTGTTCCCGACCTGTACGTGGACTCGATGGGTTATGCCTTCACACTTCCGATCTTCTGCTACCTGGGAGGCTGTAAAGTGGCGAGCTACGTTCACTATCCTACAGTCAGCACTGACATGCTGTCTGTGGTCCGGGAGAGGAACCCCAGGTAGTCCTGCACAGAACTTTATTCKTTTTAGAAGAAAGAAGCAAAGATATTTCACTACAGATAACTTCAGTGTCTCTTTGGTAACAATAATGATAAATGTTTACAGCTCTGTTAGCAAACCGCACCAACCCTCCGCTGTTTTCTGTCATTTCAGATTCAACAACTCAGATTTCATCTCCAGAAACCCGGTTCTGAGTGCGCTGAAGGTTCTGTACTACTGCCTCTTTGCTCTGATCTACGGCCTGGCCGGCTCCTGCAGCGACGTCATCATGGTGAACTCCACCTGGACGCTGGGACACATCCTGGCTCTGTGGCGCTCCCCGAGCCGCACCAGCATCGTCTACCCGCCCTGCGATGTCCAAGCCTTCCTGGACGTCCCGCTGGAGGACGAAGACGAGGTGGAAGAAGGCTGGGAGGAGCTCGGACGGGAGCTGGGCAGTGAAGAGGAGGAAGGAGGAGGAAGAGGAGGAGGGGGAGACAGGAAGTGCCACTCTATCGTGTCTGTGGGTCAGTTCAGGCCAGAAAAAGATCACCAGCTGCAGATTAGAGCATTTCGCAAGCTCTTGGATAAGAAAGGGGAGGGGCCCGGAGGCCGGGAGTCGCTGCGGCTCATCCTGATAGGTGGCTGCAGGAACCAGGAGGACAATGAGAGGGTCCTGATGCTGCGAGGACTCTGTCAGGAGCTCGGGGTCTCCGACCGCGTCGACTTCAAACTCAACATCCCGTTTGAGGAGCTGAAGAGGGAGCTGGTGAACGCCAGCATCGGGCTGCACACCATGTGGAACGAGCACTTCGGTATAGGTGAGAAGAACACGTCAACGTCGCACACCTGTCTGGGTTCAGTAAAACCACACCTGTATTTATCACCAAGGCAGAATGCAGTCAACGTAATTCAAGATGGCTGTCACATCTCATCAACAGAAAAACAGAAAACCGTGTTACTTAGTTAAATTTACAGATATTGAGCTAAAGTTTGGTGTGTTGGAGCTTTTTTTTCTTATCCCAAAGAAACATTGAAGTAATTTGTGCTTCTCTAAGTATTCCTGAACCACCTGCACTTTGAACAGTTCAGATCAGCTGCTTTGGCCCCTAATCAGTGCTTTTATTCTCCAGGTGTGGTGGAGTGCATGGCTGCAGGAACCATCGTCCTCGCCCACAAGTCTGGAGGGCCGAAGCTGGACATCGTGGTGCCGCACCAGGGCAGGCAGACCGGCTTCCTGGCCGACAGCGAAGACAGCTATGCTGCCGCCATGGAAACCATCCTGGAGCTGTCGCCGTCAGCTAGACTGGAGATAAAGCACGCCGCACGTGAATCTGTCAGACGGTTCTCTGACCAAGAGTTTGAGGTGTGTTTCCTGTCTGCCATGGAGTCCCTGATGAGTACACGGGTGTAATGAGGAGGAGCAGAGGAGWTCTGACATCTACCAGGGACCAGAACCTGATCAGAGACTCGTTTCCCAGCTGTCTGTCAGCTGAACTCCAGGAGGTGCAGGTCGGAGTCTCTGCTGTCAAACTGATGGGGCATTAACACTGACAGGGCTTTCTGAAGGCTAATTCGTATTTCAAAACACGTCTTCGCAGCTGAACAGGACTGAAGATCAGCTAAAACTAGCTAACCATCAGCTGACGTGTCGTCTCAAAAAAAAACATAAGTCAAACAGAATCCTGATGAACTCACAGAATAACAAACTGAAGAGAAACATGAAACGTAAGATCCTCTCATTATGTTTGCATGAGACCAAGTTTATTAATGTGAGAAAGTCAGACAGCTGCAGGATGTTTATAGCATGTTCCACTTGAGCTGAGGGTCAAAACTCGGGATAAAACTGAGCTGTCATTCAAACGATTTGTTCAGAAATGGGTTAAATTTACATACTTTAAAACATCAACAGGAAATAGTTTCATATCTGATTTAAAATTTTCAACCCAAACGTTCAGAAATGACTGGTTAAAGCTAAAAGCTCATGTTTGTCAATCAGAAGTGATTTTCCCACGTTTGATGCAGTGAAGCTCAGTCCGTCTCTGCTTCCTGTTTGATCCGATGTTTTGTGCTGACCTGGACTTGATTCATCTCCAGATCAGGAAATGATACTAAAGGATGAAGAGGAGGAGGAGAATTACAGCACCTCAGATTTGTGTAGATATGTTCCTTCACAGCGTTAAAGAGGAAGGGTTTATTACAGTTTGTTTATATTAAAGCTGACATGATTTTTCTTTTTACAGTGATTTTTCTTTATTTACTGACTTCTGTCAGCAGAATTTATTAAAAAAAGCTTATACTGCTTTATGTAATGGTTAAAGTTGCAGCTAAAACTAGTGTTCCAGTAGCTGAAGACCAAATTCACTTTATTTAAATGTTTTTCAGCTGTTGTTGATGAAGTCTGCGTGTAGTAATATGATTAAATATATATTATTTTATAACCTGTATCTTTAAAAATTATTATTATTTATGTGGATGTATAGAGGACTAATTAAGCTGTCTGATATTTACCTCAGTGCTGCCACCTAGTGGTCCAAATCTCACAGAACAGGAAAGACTAAGCTCTGAGTGTTTCATGATCAAAGTTTAAACCTGTTTTTCTCACATTGTCTGTCAAGTAAGAAATTGCTTCAAAATTAAACACAAATTCTTTGACTAATTATGCACAATAAACTGCACAGAAACTTTGATGTATCTTTCAGAGATCTGTTTGTCCACAGGAACTTTATATTTCATTGATGATGCCTTTATTGTCATTGTAAGGAGCACAATGAAATTACATTTAAGAACACCCATTCAAGAAGACACACAAAAAAAACATGGGGGAAACAGGTGATCAGGTCATGCGGCAACCAGCAGGGGTCGCACTACCTTTAAAAAGAAAAAACGAAAATACCACAAAATGTTAGATGAGGGAAAAAAAACATATCAACGAAATATGAAACACTATGGTGCTTATAAAAAAACCTCTATGAAGCAAGAGCACATTTATTAGCCAGAGTAAGTGAGTTTAGAGGGAAAGAGTCTAAAGAATCCAGCCTCCCAAAAGTAAAACCCATAGTTCAGCCATTAGTTCAGAATATTGGTGTTGAATTGTTCATTCAGTGCAGCTCCAGACTGACCTTCAGGGGATCAGATTAGACAGAGTGAGAGGTGGGGGAGGAGCCTCAAGTCGACAGAAACACCAGGAGAAATTAGATCCACAGCCTCAAGGTCACGTGGGAGAGAAATCTGTAATCAGTTGTTTGGGAACAGGGAAAATGTTTTTGGGCAGGCAGACAATAACAATTTCCCATCTGCCTTAATGTTCGCTGGTACATTCCAATGTGGCAATCCAATCAGACAAATAGTGTGGACAATTCCTCCGAGCCGAGCTATCAGATTCTCCAAGATCAATTCCATCTCGCTAGCAAAGTCCAGGAACCACAGTCGGCCCGCGACCCTCAGCAGAACCACTTGCAGACTGAGTCCCAGCTCGCACAGGGCAAAGTCTGAGTGCTGAAAGAACCGCAATGCTTCATATTGGTCAGGCAGCCAGGAAATGGCCTGAATAGTCACCAACGCTGTTTTGTAGAACACCAGGAGACCATCAAGCCAATCTGTAGAAATCCAGTGATCAGAATCTAAATATATATCCAGCTAGTTGAACAGAGAAGAACAGAGGTCCCACTTTTGACATGTCCTCCCATGGAAAAAAAAATTGTTCCAAATATTTATTAAGAGACCAGCTGACCATTTGTTATTATATTTGTTATTTAACTCTGAAATAAGATGAAAGAAGAAAACTGTTTTGAAATAAAATAGTATTTTGTCATGTTAAAAACTACTTTAAATGTCAGTTCGGGTCTGATTTAAGTGAACTGGACTGAATGTGGACCTGACCTCCAGCAGATGTAGAAAGAAACAGCTGTTTGCTGAAAGAAGCATATTATTATAATAATTCTAATAAATGCTTAAATAGTGGCAGGTCAGATGATGACTCAGACTCTTGAGGGGGCCGGAAGGGTTTCAGGCTTCAGCTGGTCTGCAGTTCCTGTCTGTTTTGGACAAACCTGGAGCCTCAGGGGCCATCAGAAGGTTCTTCAGGTTTAGTCAGACCTGATGGCAGTTCTTGGCCTGTGGTTGGACCTGATGGTCTGCAGGCTTCACTGCTCCTCTGCTCTGTGGTCTCCTGAGGGTTTTCATCTGAGCTGGAGTCCTCCACGACGAACAGGTTCCTCATGGAGTCCGCCACCGCCTCTCTCAGCTCGTCCTCCGACTCCTCAAAGTTCCTGATGACAAACAGGAAGTTGGACGGTAAACTCAACATTTCTGTTTTAATTCATCATTATGTATGAATGTATATTCATATCAGCTCAGTGAGAGCTATAAAGAAACATGAGGTCATGAGGTCAACATTTTTACCAGAACATCACGGAACAGGTCATCTGTGAAGTTATAGATGAAACAGGAACTTTTAATCAATCCTTATCTTTACCTTTTTATTTGTAGTCTTAATTAATAATTATTTAACCCCACCTCTAGGACAGAAGTTGGAGCTGAGAGGTGCAGTGAAGTTTAACTCACGTGTCGTCGTCATCAGACCTCGGCTCCAGACGCTCTTCATCCATTTCCACATCAGAGTCTTCATCCTTGTCATCCTCCTCAGCCTTGTCTTCCTCAGTCTTATCCTCCTCCTCAGCCTTGTCTTCCTCAGTCTTGTCCTCCTCCTCAGCCTTGTCTTCTTTCTCAGTTTCGTCCTTCTCTGGGTCTAAATCTGAGAAGAAAAAACTTCAGTTTGATCTAGCTGAACACTTTTTATTTGAATCTTGTGTTTCTGAGCTTTGATGAGAACTGAACTGAACTCTGTGTCCAGTGTCGGCCTGTCTGCTGCCTGACCTGGGCTCTGAGGGTCCGGGGTCGGTGAGATGAGTTCAGCCTGAGCCAGAACCTTCAGCAGGGTGTTGGGGGGTCCACTGACCCACTGCCTGCGACCTGCTACATATTCCACTGAGGACCGAGGAGAACATGGTGAGCAGGTTCAACATGATCTCTGAGCTGTCATTAAATCACTCACATTTCTTTCTTTGCTTTCTGTTCATCTTCAGTTTGAGTTTAATATTAAATTGAATTTATATTTAATTCCTAACAATCAGAAATTATTCAAACAAAGTTCAGTTGGACTTTCACAGATGTTCTGTACCTTTACCAGGCACAGTTGCTGTGCTGGTAACAGAGCTGACGTCCATGTTGGCGAGCGCGTCCAGCAGAGTCTGAGGGGTCCTTCGGCTCCACCCCCTTCTCTCCTTTGACCAATCCCCGAGCTTCAGCTTTTCCCCTTCCTTGTAACTTAGCGTCTGGTTCAATGGGTCCACTTCCTGTTGGTAGTGTCAGGATCAGAGCAGAGGACGAGGAGGATGATCTGACTTTTATTTTGAAATGTTTCATCTCCGACCTTTTCTTCTTCTTTTCTTTCATCTCCAGCTCCTGTTGCTCCTTCCTCATCTAGCTGGATTTCAAATGTGATTCCTTTCTGCAGAAAAGACTCAAAATAATGGACATGGACATGGCAGAGGACAGGTCGTGTGATCCCTCTGTGACATGTGGTCAACATGAAGTGATATTTCAGCTCACTTTCTCTTTTTGTTTCTTCTGCAGATCTCTCCTCTGATCTCTGTTCTGCCTCAGAGCTGCTTCAACGTCCTGCAGGAAAAAGACAACACAAAGTTTAAAATATGAAACTGGCATCTTAAAACAATCATCGTCAAACATCATAGTGTTCGGTGCAAATTTTATTTTATAACCTTCACCACGTCTTTACCAGTTATTGCAGAGGTGCTGTTGAAGATCGTTCATGTTTTAGCTGGTGAAAAACTTGCTGTTTCAGCAACATTTAATTAAAAAACTGTACTTTTGAGGTTAAACAAAAGTTCACAATTAATTTAAATAAATTACAAGTTAAAAGGGGCATGGAAATTTCTCTTTTTTGTATCAAAAAAATATCGAACCGTGAGACTAAAGTATCGAACCGAACCGTGAATTTTCTGTATCGTTGCAGCACTAATAAATATCTCCTTGAACAAAGTCATGTTGGAGAAACAAACTTTAAATGTGACCGGACTGATGAGCTAATGGCTGGTCTGAATGGTTGAACAGTATTTTCTGTAAATACTTTGCAGCTGAAAGATAAACTGTTCTCACTTCATCCATGTGCTTATCTATTCAGATTTTATAGTTTTATTTAGAATTATTAGTTAGCTGTTACTAATATCACTACTACTATTAATACTACTACTACTACTACTATTACTACTACTAATACTATTAATACTACTACTACTACTATTATTACTACTACTAATACTATTAATACTACTACTACTACTATTATTACTACTACTAATACTATTAATACTACTACTACTACTATTATTACTACT